CATGCCCCTGGATAAGTGAGGCACACCCATCCTAAGCGACTACTCAGATAACTGAACTCCACTCCAGTAAGTTAAGCTTTTCTTTAACTATGTGAATTTTCTATCAAAGGGGATTTTTCTATCCTCTTCAACAGAGATTACCAACATATATACTTAAAGAAAGTGAACTTTCAACATAACTTGATCATAATAAGATTTTGCAGATGAGAAAACTAAGAACCAGCAAGACAAGGTTACGTAATCAAACACTGTGTGTTGCAACAGAACAATGACCTCTGAAGTTACTTTCCCTTCCTTGTCAGGCTACCAAGAACACACACTTAAATTCATGCCCTTTAATGTCGGGAAATCCCTCCTTCCTCCTTCTCTCCCTCATTTCCTTCCTTCCTTGCCTCCTTCCTTCTGTCTTCTTTCTCTTTCTTACATATCATTTGAGCAAACTTGATTTTCTGTTTTCTTTGCAGAAAAGTAGAAATAAATTGAACCGAAGAAGAATCAGGGAGGAGAACAGTAACAGAAGCAGTGAAGTTCTCTGAACAAAAGATGACAAAAGAAATGGGAACTGACAACTGGCAAAAAAGGCCTGTCAAATGTTTGTTCTGTGGCCGGACACAGTGGCTCATGCCTATAATCCTAGCACTCCGGGAGGCTGAGCCGGGAAGATTGCTGGAGCTCAGGAGTTCGAGACCAGCCTGAGCGAGAGTGAGACCCCGTCTCTACCAAAAAGAAAGAAAAGAAAAAAAACCCAAAAACCCCAGCTGGTTGTTGCAGCTCCTGCATATAGTCCCAGCTACTGGGAAGCTGAGGCAGAAGGATTGCTTAGAGCCCGGGAGTTGGAGGTTGCAGTGAGCTACAATAATGCCACTGCACTCTACCCAGGGCAACAGAGTGAGATTCTGTCTCAACACACCAAAAAAATAAGGAAACTGAGCCCCTCCTCACAACCTCCCACCTGTTCATATTAAAAAAATTTTTAAAAATTTAAAAAAAACTTTGTTTTTTGCTTTTGGCTTACTTCTCATTTCTTGACTACATGGTGATATATAGTTAAGAAATTAATTTAGTTTTATTTCTTTGCTCTCTCCTTTCCATTCCTCCCCCTACCCTAAATCTCCCAGACACCTAAGCGCACGGTAAGGTCTGTGGAGTGCAGGTCAAGTTAAGTGCCTGAGTTCTAACACCAGACCACCTAGGTGCGAATCCTAGCTTTCCGCCACTTGTTAACTGGGTGATCCTCAGTAAGTTACTTAAACTCCTTATTCTATATAGTTTTCTCATCTGTTAAATAAGAAAAATGAACAGAATCTACTTTACAGGGTTACAGTATGGATGATTTATAACATCCTCCCTGAAACACTAGCTATTATTACCATAAACCTTCACCTCATCTCATAGATAATCAGTATCTTCTTTTTCTCAACACATCGGTCTCTAGATACTGCATGTCCATTCTCAGAAGTCTTAGTGGAGTGTGGCTGGTCTAACGGGTGCTTGTAGCATATCTCAGAGAAGTGGACTTGTGGTTCAGTCCAGCTCTGGCTGAATAGCCAGAAGTTGGAAACCGGATTCAGGTACACCTGTGAGTCTGCTCTGTGTTGATTCACCTTGAACTCCAGGCCAGCCTGGGGTCATCCAGCGTCACCTCAGGCATTGCAGTCACACAGAGCCCAGTGTGGATCTGACATGGCCCCAGCCAACCTCTCCGGTTTCTGCCACCAAAAACATGCCCCGAATGCTTTCCTTCAGAAGCACAGCATTTCCCTGGGCTAGTCCTGCTGTTCCCTGCATGGCCCAGGCTTGCTCATCTTTATCTAGAACACTTTTCTCCTCCTCTCTGCCTAGTAAACTTACACTTGCCCTGCCAGGTTTTATTTAACTCTCACTTCCCCTATCCGGGACCCCCCTCAGTGGTGTTTCCCCTCTGTGCCAAGTATCCTAGTTATGTCCATCCTGACATTTTCCAGGTTAATGGATAAAAATTCTTGCTGACCCCTCCACTTAGACAGCCAACTCCTGGAGAGCCCAGCAGCACAGGGAAGGCATTTCTGAATGACCTAATAATGACAGGCAGGCCCTTTTGACTCATCTCAGAACTAAGCCACCTGCCCATGGGCTTTTTTGATCAATGTTAAGAATCAGATGACGCCAGGCATGGTGGCTCACGCCTGTAATCCTAGCACTTGGGAGGCCCAGGCGGGAGGATCGCTTGAGCCGAGGAGTTCGAGACCAGCCTGGGTAACATAGTGAGACCTTGTCTCTATTTAAAAAAAGAAAAAAAAGAGTCAGATGAAATCTGGGCTCCTGGAGATTTGTTCTTGGCCCAAAGTGGGCCAGGCATGTGGATTCTTATATCACTGAAGTGCAGTGTAGCAGTTACTGCCCATTTTTGGAGGAAGTTTCAAAGGAATCACACAATTTGCTTCTCAAGCACTTCTGAGAAAAGAGGAAGAAAAAAATGCTATAATTTTTGTTTGAGTGTCACTGGGAAACCGGGTATAACACACAGGACTATGGATGGATAGGTAGGAGACAATTATAAATTTTTCAGGAGCTCTGAAGGGTGGTGGAAATAGCAGTTAAATCTTATACTAGGAGCCTTGTGGAATCACAGGATGTAAGAGCTGGAAGTGTCCTTATAGATAGATCAATTATTGGTTCTCAATTATGAGTTCATGATAAAATTTTCACTAGTCCACAGAAAACTGAGATACATTTGTATAATCTGCTATCACGTTTCTTTAAAAAGCTATATGAAGTCAATATAAAAGATTGTTCTTTATTCTGAGATTAAATTTTTCCACTTTTGTGGTATTAAAATATTTTTTCTTTTAAAAAAGATGGTGATTATAAATGGTAGTTTGGTCTCTATTTTTTTTTTTTGATAATTGTAGTCTATCTCTGTTTGTCATTATTATCCCAATTAGTTGTATTTTGTTTTGTTTTGTTTTGTTTTTGAGACAGAGTCTCACTCTGTTCCCCACTCTAGCATGCAGTGGCATCATCATAGCTCACTGCAACCTCAAATTCCTGGGCTCAAGTGATCCTCCTGCTTCAATCTCTGAGTAGCTGGGACTACAGGCACACACCACCACGCCTGACTACCAATTAGTTTTTTTTTTTAAAAAAAAAAAGCTCTCCATTGAAATACAACACGTACATTCCCAATTAGTTTTGATAGCCTTGTATTCATAGGATAGCTTTCTAACTTAGAAAAATGAAAGTTTGGGCACACCATAAGTCTCCCAAGTTGTTTTTTAAAGAAAATTTACTGGTCCATAAAATCTGATTGGGTTCGACATCCCTCCTCATTGCAGAAAAGGAAATGGGAGTCTAAAGAGGTTAAATTTTAAAGCACTTACAAATATTGAAGGTCCCCTAGCTACTTAACAGCAAAAGGCAAGACTAGGGCTGTTAGAGTACCCAGTCAGGTAGGTACGAGCAAGGGAGGAGGGACCGGAAAAGGTAGTCAACAGGCTTGAACAAACAGCCCTTGAATGAACAGACCCGAGGAGAAGAAGAGAGCCCCTAACTTCCCAGCATTGCCCAGGTACAAAGTGACCTTTCCCCCATTATATCACAATGGTAGTAAGTTAACATTGTGGTTTTGACGACCCCCTTGTAGGAAAAACAGGGGAACTATGAGTAAGAACAGAATGAACACTGACTACCGAGCCTTCTTTGACTTCAGCAAACAAAAACCGCTTGGGGTTTGGCGCAGTTGCTCTCTTCGAGCCTGCCCGCAACCTTTCTTGGGAGTGTACTCTCGCCTCTGCACAAGTCTTTCCTAAGCCTGGCTGCTTCCACTCAGTAAACTTGCCACTATTGCTCACTTGTGTGCACGTCCTGAAATTCTTTTCTGCGACGGTAGCAAGAACCTTTACACCAGTGACGGAACCAGTGTTCTTGCCTAGCAGAGTCCAGAGCTCTTAGCTTCTACTCAACAGTTGTTCAGTATCAGCACAAGGTATAGAATGTGACCCTGAAACCATTTATGATGCGGAACTGAGATGAACGTGAGTTTTACGCAGCCCATTAGATTGTATGTTAAGCTCTATCGTGCTTTGCCGCAATTATCTCTTACAAGCTTGTCAAATAATCTTTACACGGCACTAATTATGCATTTGTGTGATTTTCACCTGATCAAAACTCAACAGGATAGCATAAGAAGATTTTATAACATACATAAATACACACGCCCTTATTTCATAACCTCCACTTATAAGCTACTTCGTTCACTTTCTTCCTTATCAGTCACAAAACAGCAGCCACCGCTATTTTTTCCTTGCAGTTCACAACACAGAGTTCTAATGTAATAATTCTGCAAGTGGGACCAGATGGGCCAGCTTACTCATGCCTGTCTGCTGAGTAATATCAGAAGATAACACATGTTACCAAGACAAATATAAAAGCCTTTCAACTCAGCCCTGGAGCCAGGAAAATATTAGAAAACTGTGATGCCAAAAATTTTAGCCCTTTTATCTCAATTTCTCATTATTATTCCAATTCGTTTTGTAGTCACTGTATTTATGAGAATTTCTAATGCCTGCTGTTAACTGAAGTTGCTGTTTAGAATGCAGGCTCACATGCTTATCATTCTCCTTGTAAAAATTTTCAACTAGCAGCCATAAACTTAACCCATTAAAGAGGCCAAACTAAAACAAAAGCCCTTACCTCGTGTAAGGCAGGTGTCTAGTAAACTTAAAGTAATACCTTATTCAGCTTATTTTTTTACCTTTGAAATTCTGAAATAATTTTAGACTTACAGAAAGGTGGTAAAAATAGCACATCTCCGTATACCCTTCACCCAGTTTTCCCTAATATTAGCATTTTACAAAAACACAATACAAATATCAAAACTAAGAAATTAACATGGGTATAATTCTATTAACTAAACCACAGACTTTATCATGATTTCACCAGTTTCCCCAACAATGTCCTTTCTCAGGCTCCAGACCCAATCCATGATCCCACATAGCATAAAAAAGCTTAAATTCACCAACCTGTAGGAATCAGCGTTTCATCCACAGGCAAAAAAGTATCAGCCTCTATGGTGACTTCATGGTCATATATATTTGGGGAACCCTGGGAGGCAAAGATAGAGGAAAGAAAAGAAGATTTGCTGCTTAGTCTTATGTAATATATTTGCTTTATAACTTCTCTTGCAAAAATGTTTTCAGGCATTGGCAAAAACTTTAGAAATCCCATTTGACTGATGGTAATGATTATATATATTCACAGGTAGTCTTTGCCAAAAAAAAAAAATAAGTAAATAAATAAGAATAAACATGATCATTTAAGTGCTCAAAATAGTAACTGATAAATTTGGAAGACACATTCAAGCGTGCAGGCATTTTCTTTTCTAAACGGAATGAATATGAAGGTGAAAAGTTAGAGAGAACACAGTGGTTTGAAAGCATTTTGGACCCTGGCTTTTTAGTGGAGGTGATTTTTCTACTCTCCTCACATGCCAGGAAAACAGAAGAGCAAGGGTCAGTGACCAGGAATGCACAGGTCCTGGAAGGCCAAGGCCCTGCTCCAGGATCACTTCCTGGCGGGGAAGGGGCATCTGGCACCCCTCTCTGCCTGGTTCCCACCGGGAGGACCCACTCCCTGCTGCACAGCAGAAGCCCAGGAGTCAGAACTGCAGCCCCTGCTTTTGAGTTCCTGCCTACCTCCTGCAGCCTGCCCTTTTGGGGGGGTCGAGGCTGGTACAAGAAGCACTGGTCAGTGGCAGAGGCCTGGCGTCTAGCTCCAGCTCTCACTGAGTGGCCCCAGGGAAGTCACTTAACCTAGAATCTCATTTCCTTTGGGATAAAATTGGGCTAATTTTATCTTTGCCAGGGTCCTTGGGAAGAACACTTTAGTAGAGTTGTACTGTTTGCAAATTGGAAAATACTTTACACAAGCAAGTTTGTAATACAAAGGATTTTTTAAAAAATTATCAAGGCCGGGCACAGTGGCTAATGCCTGTAATCCTAGCACTCTGGGAGGCCGAGGTGGGTGGATTGTTTGAGCTCAGGAATTCGAGACCAGCCTGAGTAAGAGCGAGACCCCCGTCTCTACTAAAAATAGAAAGAAATTAATTGAACAACTAAAAATATACAGAAAAAATTAGCCGGGCATGGTGGTGCATGCCTGTAGTCCCAGCTACTCAGGAAGCTGAGGCAGGAGGATCACTTGAGCCCAGGAATTTGAGGTTGCTGTGAGCTAGGCTGACACCATGGCACTCTAGCCCGGGCAAAAGAGTGAGACTCTGTCTTAAAAAAGAAATTATCAATAGTAACATATTTTAAAGCATCACAGCAGAAGATGGGAAAGAGAAACCAAGTGAGGACTTTTGCTTAGTGAATGCTCAAAAATAACCTACACCAGTGGTTCTCAAATGGGGGTGATTTTGCTCTGCAGGGAGCATTTGGCAATGTCTGGACACATTTTTTTATCATCATGACTGAGGCTGGTGGTGCTACTGGCATCTAGTACAGGGAGGCCAGGGATGCTACTAAACACCCTGCAATGCACAGGATAATCCCCACTCCCTGCCCCCACAGCAGAGAATTATCTGGGCTCAAATGTCAACAGTGCCAGGGTTGAGAAAGTCTGAGCTAAGCTAAACTGAGAAGTAAGCAGAGAGAGGCAGAGGGCTGCAGGTTAGTTGGAAACAGATTCTATGGGAGTCATTTTGAGAAGAAAGGCCAAGATTTTGAAGACCCGTGAGAATCTATGTCAAAACATGACAGGAATTGGTTTAATTACACTACCTGGAAGCTCTGTTTCTGAAGAACTATGATCTCTTAGATTTTCCCACTGGGTATTTAGAGTGGGCAGGTCGGGGCCAGGGCAGAGGCGTGTCCTGTCTTAGCCACTGGTTTGGTCCCTGTTCTGATCTGGGAAGGCTGGTCCAAGCTGGGAGAGGGTCTGCACCCCTCCTAGAGCAGCTCTAGACTCAGTGGGTGTCTCTCCTGGGCAGTTCCCTCTACTGCCATCTTCTCATGCCTCAGGGCAGTGCCAGCACTGAAGAGGCCTCTGGGACTGAAGGGGGTGGAGCTAAAGGAAGAGAATTTGGGGCTACTGCTATTTCCCTGGCTCTATTTGTTCAATACTCAAACCGGAAGGCGTTGGGTCAGCCCAGACAGGGGTATGGAAGGTTGGGTTCAAGGCCTTGGTGGTACTAAATTGGGAGCTGCAACCCACATAGCTGAAGCATCTCAGAAAAGGAGAGCCTGGACCGAATCTCCTCCATCCCTCCTTGCACAAATAAGGCTTGAGGACAACCTCTCTAATGTCATTCAGGGAGGGAAGCCTGCAGGAAGTGAGGTCATTCGCAGCACTCCTGGCCTAGCATCTGTGCAGGACTTTACTGTTTCCTAGGTGCCTTTTTCTTTTTCGTTTTTTTAATAAATACCTATTTATAACCAGAACACTGTTCCAATTTATATAGTTATAGATTAGCTTTGCCTGTCCTAGAACTTCACATAAATAGAATCATACGGCATGCATCGTTTTGTGCCTTGCCGCTCCTATACAGTATAATGCTCTTGAGATCATCTATATTATTGTGTCAGTAATTTGTTCCTTTTTATTGTTGAGTAGTATTCCATTGTATGACAATATCACAATTTGTTTATCCATTCTCCTATTGATGGACTTGTGGGTTGTTTCCAGTGTTTGACTATTATAAATAATAAAGCTGCTCAGGAATTTCCTTTTTTTTGTTTGTTTAGTTTTTTTTTTTTTCTTCTTTAAGCACTAGGGCAGGGAGAAAATGAATCAACTTAAAAATCACACACCATGGCCGGGCGCGGTGGCTCACGACTGTAATCCTAGCTCTCTGGGAGGCCGAGGTGGGCGGACTGTTTGAGCTCAGGAGTTCGAGACCAGCCTGAGCAAGAGCGAGACCCCGCCTCTACTAAAATTAATTAAGAAATTAATCGGCCAACTAAAAATATAAATTAGCCGGGCATGGTGGCGCATGCCTGTAGTCCCAGCTACTCGGGAGGCTGGGGCAGTAGGATCACTTGAGCCCAGGAGTTTGAGGTTGCTGTGAGCTAGGCTAACGCCACAGCACTCACTATAGCCAGGGCAACAGAGTGAGACTCTGTCTCAAAAAAAAAAAAAAAAAAAAAAAAATCACACACCAAATAAAGTGATGAGTCTGAGATGTTAGGAAGAAACCTTGGAGGTAAAGAAAAGGAACATTCATTAGGCACCCACGCTCTTAATGATCACTGGGTCACCAAGCAGTGCTAACATTCCTTCATTAAAGAGAAGCAAGCTTTGTTCAACGACTCTTCTGTTCTGGAAAAATGCAACCATTTACTCTGGTGGAATATTACCGTTGGAATCATTTCCTTTCAAGCCTGATGAAAACTTGGCAAGAAATGCTGATTCACAAACAGATCTCAAGGCCCATCTCTGAGTTCAGTGTTTGTTTTGGTTAACTTTGCTTGGCTGCTACCAGTTTGTAACATTAATCATTTACAGAGTCTCTTACAACTTGCATGGGGCTTTAAAGACGTTTTTGTGCATTGCTCTACCATGGCCTTAATTCAGCTCTTATCACCTCTAACAGGAGGTTAACAGACACTATTTTTGTTTTATTTTTTATTTGTATTATATTCATGGGGAACAAGTGCAACTTTGCTCCATTGATACAGTGCACTGTGGTGAAGTCGGGGCCTTCAGTGCATCCACCGCTGCAGCAACGCACATTGTACCTGCCAAGCAACCTCCCATCATCCACCTTCCTCCCACGCCACCAGCCCTCCGAATCTCCATTGTCCATCATTCCATGTTTTGCTTCCATGTACACAAATTATTTAGCTGCCACTTATAAGTGAGAACATGCTGTATTTGTCTTTCTGTGAACAGATACTACTGGTTACTACTCAAAAGCCATAACAACCCCTTTACCAGTGCCCTCCCTTTCCCATGATAGAAACCTGATGTGTTGATTTATCCTATGTCCTATGCCATGTATTTAGGGAAGAGGCCCCCTCCCGATTCCCAGAGAGAGAATTTTGATTGGTCTTAGCCCATCGCAGTGGTCTAATTCCCCTGCTGGCAAATGGGTTAGCCATAGCATGACCCACACTTCTGGCCAATGAAATATGAAAGAAAGTCTGCTGGGGGCTTCTAGGAATGGTTTTGCTTATTCTTAAAAAGGGAACATTAGAGATATGAAAAAAAGGAATAGGTCCTTTTTATCTCTGGATATGACTACATAAGGAGGTGATTTCTGGTGTGGCAACCATCTTGTGACCATGAGGGGACAAGCTTGAAGACAAAAGCCAAAACACTGAGGAAGCAGATAGAAAAATGGAAGAACCTTGGTTCTTGATGACATATCTATTTGGTCATACCAGAACCACAGGTATTAACTTTTCACCTCGAATTCCCCTAGACCTGCTTTCATAGTTCTTTAGGTAAACTTTCAATAAGAAACACATTCTCAAAAAAAAAAAAAAAAAAAAAAAAAAGAAACACATTCTCCTAGTTTTATGAGGAAAAAGCAGAAAAACAAAACAAAACAAAACAAAAAGCAATGTGCAACCCACATACATTTTCCATTCTTTGAAAAACACAGTTATTGCCTCCCCCAGGCCTCCAACACTCAAACTTAGAAGTGATAAGCCCATGCTTGGGCCCCAAATAAGATCACCCACCCCTACTTGAGTGCTCCCAAAGGCTGGTGGTCCCCACCCATCAACAACCCTGAAGCTGATGGCTGTGAAATCAAGCTGCAATTACTAAGATATAGGTTGAGCATCCTTAATCAGAAAATCCCAAATCCAAAATGCTCCAAAATCTGAAGCTTTCTGAATGCCAACATGATGCTCAGAAGAAATATTACCTGTAGCATTTCGGATTTTGGATTTGTGGATTAAGGATACTCAACCAGTAAGTATATATAATGTAAATATTCCAAAATCTGGAAAAATTCAAAATCTGAGACACTTATGGTCCCAAGCATTTTTGATAAGAGATATTCAACCTGTAGTATACGGAAGGGAGCTTACACTGTCCAACCTTCTGGGCGGAGTCTATGATCTGGGAACTTATTCAGACTTTGGAAAGAGATTCAGAAATACTTGTCACTCCAAGTCCCTGTAGGATTGGAAGGGTGGTAAATGGAAAGAGCCTTAGTAAACCTCACATTCTCATTTTGTCTCCTTCATTGAAACACACTGGCAGATGGAATACTTCACGCACAATTTCTCTACTTCCAAATCTATTTCTTCAGATCTCCCCCATTATAAAACAGGATGTCCTAAGTATACAAAAATGTGGAAAACAGAAAAATCACCATCACTTACTACCTACATAAAACAATATTTTGTTCTATTTCTGTTATTTCATTCTAAACTTATTTTTAAAAAAATAGAGCTTCTTCTGCCTGGGCGTTTTTGTTTTGCTTTTGGCTTTTGGTTAGTTTTGAAAATCTCAAGAAGGATGGTAGACATTCCCGAAGATAAGGAACAAGGAAGTGAAGGACCATTTTTCTTACTTTTAAAGGGAGAACTTCATATAATTATATAAAAACCAATTAATTCTGCTATTTGAGAAGATTATAGGGGGAAAAAAAAAACCTAGCAGATCATCAGCAAACTCCTAAGAGTGTAAAAATGCAAGATATTACTGGTTGGCTGTGAAGATCACCTTGTGGTAGGAAACCACACCAAAGTGATCTAAGTATAGTGGACAATGATGAGTTCCTCAGATAAAGAGAAAGTAGAGATACAATCTACAGAGTTTAGCTAAACTTTTTTTTTTTTTTTTTTT